GATTTGACCAGTAACAGTGAAGGAACGGTGATATATTTCCAAGTCAGGATGGTGAGTGGCTTGGAGGGAAACTTGGAGGTGGTGGTGTTCCCATGTATCTGCTGCTCTTGTCCTTCTAGATGGTAGTGGTTGTGGGTGTGGAAAGTGCTGTCGAAGGATCTTTGGTGAATTTCTGCAGTGCATCTTGTAGATAGTACACACTGCTGGTGCTGAGTGTCGGTGTGGAAGAAGTGGATGTGGAGCAAATCAAGCATGTTGCTTTGTACTGGATGTATCAAGCTTCTTGAGTGTTGTTGTTGTCCTGAATGGTTCAAGTTTCCTGGGTGTTGTTGGAGCTGCACCCATCCAGGCAAGTGGGGAGTATTCCATCACAGGCCTGACTTGTGCCCCGTAGATGGTGAACAGGCTCTGGGGAGTCAGGAGGAGAGTTACTCGCCGCAGTATTCCTAGCCTCTGACCTTCTCTTGTAGCCAATGTGTTTATGTGGTGAGTCCAGTTGAGTTTCTGGTCAGTGGTAACCCCAAGGATATTGGTAATGTGGGATTCAATGATGGTAACACCAATGAATGTTAAGGGGCAGAGATTAGATTTTCTCGTATTGGAGATGGTCATTAGCCTGGCATTTGTATGGTGCAAAAGTTATTTGTCTTTTGTCAGCTCAAGTCTGGATATTGTCCAGATCTTGTTTCATTTGGACCATGGACTGCTTCAGTATCTGAGGATATGCGAATGGTGCTGAACATTTGTGCAATCATTGGCAAACATCCCCATTTCTGACTTCATGACAGGCAGCTGAAAATTGTTGGACTTAGCACACTACCCTGGCAAACTCCTGTAGAAATGTCCTAGAGACGACTGACCTCCAACAACCAGAACTGGTACAACTCCAACCAGCAGAGAGATTGCACTTGATACTCATTGATTCCAGTTTTCCTAGAGTTACTTGATGCCACACTCAGACGAATGTGGCCTTGATGTCAGGAGCTGTCACTCTCACCTCACCTCTGGAATTCAGCACTTTTGTCCATGTTTGAACCAATGCTGGAATGAGGTCAGGAGCTGAGTGGCCCTGGTTGAAGCCAAACTGCGTGTCACTGAGAATGTGCAGCTTGATAGAACTGTTGCTGACACTCAGAAACTCAACTGGACTCACCACATAAACACAGATGCTACAAGAGCACATTAGAAGCTAGGAATACTGTGGCGAGTAACTCACCTCCTGACTCCTCAAATCCTGTCCACCATCTACAAGGCACAAGCCAGGAGTGTGATTGAATACTTCCCATTTGCCTGAATGAATGCAGCTCCAATAACATTCAAGAAGCAGGACATCATCCAGGGAAAAGCAGCCTGCTTGATTGGCACAACATCCACAAGCATCCACTCACTCCACACCGACGCTCAGTAGCAGCAGTGTGTAGTATCTACGAGATACACTGCAGAAATTCACCAAAATCCTCAGACAGCACCTTGACCCACGACCACTTCCATCTAGAAGGACAAGGCATCAGGTATATGGGAACACCACCACCTCCAAGCTCCCCTCCAAGCCACTCACTATCCTGACTTAGAAATATATCGCCATTCCTTCACTGTTGCTGGGTCAAAATCCTGGAATTCTCTCCCTAATGGCATTGTGGGTCAACCCACAGCAGGAGAACTGCAGCGGTTCAAGAAGGCAGCTCACCACCACCTTCTCAAGGGCAACTAGGGATGGGCAAGAAATGCCGACTAAGCAACGATGCCCACATTCCATAAATGAATTAAAAAAAGCTTTCTGTCACTTTGCTGATGATCGAGAGTAGACTAATTGGGTGGTAATTGGCCGGGTTGGATTTGTCCTGCTTTTTATGTACACGACACACCTGGGCAATTTTCCACATTGTCAGATAGATACTCGTGTTGTAACTGTACTGGAAGAGCTTGGTAAGTGTTCAGTACTATTGCCAGGGCTCATATCCAGTGTCTGCAACCATTTGTTGATATCATGTGGAGTGAATCGAATTACATGAAGACTGGTATCTATAATGCTGGAGAGCACTGGAGGAGGTCAAGCTAGAACATCCATTTAGCACTTCTGCTGAAGATTGCTGTGATTGTTTCAGCCTTATATTTGCACTTGTGTTGGGCTGTTCTATCATTGAGGATGAGGATATTTTTGGAGCTTCCTCCAGTGAGTTGTTCAATTGTCCAACATCATTCACGACTGGATGTGGCAAGACTGCAGAGCTTAGACCTATTCAGTTAGTTGTGGGATCACTTAGCTGTGCTTTTGCAGCTAATGCCATTTGGCATGCAAGTAACTTCATCAGGTTGACACCTCATTTTTACGTATGCCTGGTGCCGCTCCTGGCATGCCCTCCTGCACTCTTTATTAAACTAGCGTTGATCCCTTGGGTTGATGCTTGGGATGTACTACTGAGACTTTATAAGGCTCTGGTCAGGCCATATTTGGAGTATTGTGTGCAGTTTTGGGCAAAATATCTCAATGTACTGGCCCTGGAGTGGGTTCAGAGGAGGTTCACGAGAATGGTCCTAGGAATGGAAAGCTTAACATATGAGGAACGTTTGAGGACTCTGGGACCATACTCATTGGAGTTTAGAAGGATGAGGGGGATCTAATTGAAACTTACAGAATACTGAATGGCCTGGACAGAGCGGATGTTGGGAAAATGCTTCCATTGGTAGGAGAGACTAGGAGCCGAGGGCACAGCCTTAGAGTAAAGGGAAGACCTTTTGGAACGGAGATAAGGAGAAACTTCTTCAGCCAGAGAGTGGTGAATCTATGGAATTCACTGCCACACAAGGCTGTGGAGGCCAGGTCACTGAGTACACTTGAGACTGAGATAGATAGGTTCTTGATTATCAAGGGGATCAAGGGTTATCAGGAGAAAGCAAGAGGATGGGGTTGAGGAACTTATCAGCCATGATTGACTGGTGGAGCAGACTCGATGGGCCGAATGGCCTAATTTCTGCTTCTATGTCTTATGGGCTTATGGTTGAGTGGGGGATATGCTGGGCCAAGAGTTTGTAGATTGTGCTGGAGTACAATTCTGGTGCTGTTGATGGCCCAGAGTGCCCCACAGATGTCCAGTCCTGAGTTGCTAGATCTGTTCGAAGTCTGGTCCATTTAGCACATGATGGTGCCACACAACACAATGGAGCATGTACTGAATGTGAAGGCAGGACTTCAATTCCACAAGAACTCTGCAGTGGTTGCTCTTACCAATGAGGTCAAGTATGCTTTTCCCTCTTGTTGGTTCTCTCCCCACCTGCTGGAGATCCAGTATAACAGCTGTGTCCTTTAGGAGTCGACCAGTTCGATCAATAGTGCTGCTGCCGAGCCACTCTTGGTGGTGGGTCAGCCCAATGGGACTGAGAGGAGGTGAAATTCCTTAACTGTGTTGTGATCTTTTGGAAAACTCTACACCAAAGAACTGTGGCTACTCAGTATTGAATATATGCAAGATTTACTGGTAGATTTTTGGAGGTAGGCATTATGTGGGAAGGTGGCCATCAAACTGAAGATCAGCCATAATTCTATTGCATACCAGAGCAAATTTTAAAAGGCCAAATGGCTTACTTCTAATCCTATTTTTATGTTCTTAAATTAAGATGTGGTTACATCTTGCCTATTAGGGAACCCAAACTATTTTCCAACTCATGAAGTATCTTCTCTGAAGTTCAAGACTCTCAACGCCAGCCTTGTCACCCATAGGTTATGCCAGAGGATTATGAAGAATAGCCCTGTTTACTGGACCTTATAACAATAACAGGTTGTTTCAAATACCTCAAACAGTTCAATGTAAGCTCATGCTTATTGTTTCCTTGCTGTGGATTTTAAGACAACATTTGTCAATTCTGGGTTCAGCATATCTAATAATCTTACCTTTTTAGCAAAAGTTGTGCAACTCCTTCAGGTTTGAACATGAAATCCCTTTATAAATGGAAATGTAAACTACAAACAACATTGAATTGTATATCTTGAGAACTAAAACTAAAATTTTATTTGTTAGAAATCTTTACATGGACGAAATACTGTGGAGACTGGAGATTTAAAAATTGCTGAATATACTTGGCAGATCAGACAGCATCTGTGGAGAATATAGAATTCTTCCAGGCTTTAGTTTCTTAAAAGGGCAGTTTGAGAGTCATTGTTGTGTCTTTTCTGTCACCAATTAATCATCATTTATGTGTGACTTTTCACTGAATGTTGCTACAATTCAATTACTAGGAGTATCACCGCTAAGTTTCATTATGCCTTTGCCTGATGATTGTATATGCAAACATTAGTGGAGATTGCTGATTTTGAATCTATGTGGGAATTTTGGCTTTTTTTGTCTTGCTCTCTCTGCCAAACCATGATAGTGAAGCCACATTAGTGTTGTAACAGCTGTCAGCTGAGATGAGCAAACTCAACATGAACCTGAATTTTAACCTGCGACTCTACTAGTTTTTATGGCTTAATAACTCATTGGGTTAATTCAATGATTTTTTTGGAGAAAGCTTCTGTTTAATTATACTGCTTTTGAATAAGGGTGATAGATAGGTAAGTCACTGCTGCTTTCTAAGAGAATATCTCTGTATCCCTTTTAACATCTGCATTTAATCATAATTTTAAAAAAATACTTGGTGATAGTGACATATTCATGTAACATTGGAAAGGTTTGAGGGTGGCATGGTGGCTCAGTGGTTAGCACTGTTGCCTTACAGTGGGACCCGGTTTGATTCCAGCCTTGGGTGACTGTGTGGAGTCTGCCGAGTGCTCTAGTTTCCTCTCACATTCCAAAGATGTACAGGCTAGGTGGATTAACCATGGTAATGCGAAGTTGTGGGGATAGGGTGGAGGACTGGGTCTGGGTGGCATGCTCTTCAGAGGGTAGATGCAGACTTGGTGGGCCGAATGACTGCTTTTCACACTGCAGGGATTCTATAATTCTTTGTTAGTATTATTAAATATTTTAATTTTTGAAAGTAATTTCCTTTATTTATTTCCAAAGGAAAGTCACAGCAAGAAACAGAGTTGGGTTACAGTGTAAGAACCCTGGTTATTGTTGTTATCGCTCCGGTAATTGTTCTGATCGTCGCGTCCATGGTGACGGTACTGATATTACGCAAACTCCACCAAAATCAAATGCAAAGACTAAATGCTCGAGAGGTTGAGTATGGTGCCATTGATGGACTGATTGCTTCAAATGTTGGAGATAGCACCTTAGCAGTAAGGATTATTCATTTATCTGTTTTATGCCTGAGACTTTTACTTTTTTTCCCTGTCTTTGGTCAAATACATCATTTTGCAGAACATCATTTTTTAATATCAAGTAAGTCTTCAATATTTGGCCAGATTATTTTGAAAGCTAGCTTGATTTTATAAATCTAATACTTCTACCTTTTGCTAGCTCAAGCATTTTCTAAGAACATACTTGAAAGATAAAAAGATCCTAATAATACTCTAATGAATTTCCAAGAAAATATAATATACAATTTGGTTTTAAGAAACTTGGAATTTGGTGCAGTAAAACTGTGGAGTAATGCACATAATATGTTATGTGCATTCATAAGTGGTGTCACAAAAATGGACTTCCACTTTCAAAGTTTTTTGTGGACCAATTACACACATTAAGATGTGGACAAGCACTGGAAAAATTTTGATGTGCATAAGTTTCAGTTAATGAATTATCATCTTGTCAATAGGAATTGTGCTGTAAATTTTATACAATAAGCACTATTTGTACACATGACATGATGCAGTGGCAGCTTGTCTTACCAGCATTTCCTGTAATGTTAGATGACTAAGAGTTGTTCTGAAGATGTCTTCTCAATTCTTGTGTTCAAGAACATGATTGCATGAGGAAGTTGGTGTCTGCAGCTGTCTTCAAGACAAAATATCTTATCTTTCTCCTTTTAAAAATTTTAAGTCTTAAATAATTGCAGTTCACTTTGTAGGATAATTGCTTTTCCCACAGGATCTGTTGGATCATTCCTGCACATCAGGCAGTGGATCAGGTCTTCCTTTCCTCATACAAAGAACAGTGGCTCGGCAAATTACCCTTGTAGAATGTGTAGGTGAGTTAATGTGATTGAGTGTGTTTTTGCTGTTTCCAAAGTGTGTTGTGTGACTACTGTTTTTGGGAGGGGCAAAGAGAAAAAGAAACCAGTCTGATTTTGCTTTCCTTTCACTTTCCCTACCCTTTAGTAAAAGATCTTCTCTAAAGGCGTTAGCACTTGGAATTTGTAAAGCATTATTATTTAAGGAGGTTTTCAAACTTCTTTGGACATAATATATACTTTCCAAACTTTGCCTTCAGAAAAACAGGACCTGTTTGTCAGACATTTGAATTATACAGCATCTGTTGAAGGGCTCCAAACAACACGTTCCCTGCACTAATGTGTGATAGTGTGCTGTGTATGGAGGAAGCCAAACCTAGAGAGCCAGAGCAAATTAAGATTTTCTTTCCAACTCAATTATTTGCTCCCAACCCCCATCACCATTCTCATGCATTTCACTTTGAAAGGTTCTGATTCCATTCTCCATCCTGCTTTCTTTCTCCTGTAGGTGCTGATATATGATATGATTCAATTTGGAATAGTCAACACTCATGTAGGCCTCTGTCCTGCGTGTTGAAGTCTGTGTAGTGAATGCAAGGTATCACGGCCTCCTGTTTTGACCCACCGTCCAACAATTGCTTTCCAGCATTCAACACAACATACAAACCTAGGTTGGAGCCAGAGCTGATTTTGTTTCTAATCCTGACCCCAGAGTTACTTCAATTGTGTGTCACAAAATACAGAATTAAATACAAATCACATTTATTTTCAGCTAGTTTACCTTGAAATGCAAGAGGTTAGCAACTTCAAAATAAATTCAAAACTGATCATTTAAATCAATCCCCATCATACAGAAACCTGGCTTTACTTTGTTTGACTGAGCTTAGTGGGACATGAATAGTTCTCCTGAGATTTGTACAAATGATCATATGAATTAGGAGCAGAAGTAGGTCATTTGGCTCCTCCAGCCTGCTGCATGACATAGTAAGATCATGACTGATGTTTGTTTTTTGCATTCTATGCTCCCATCTACTCCTGACAACCTTTGATTCTCATTAGGCAAGGGAATCAATCCAGATCCACACTTAAACTTATTGCATTAGAGCCTCAGTTTTTTAATCTTGCATATCCATGCCTTGAATGAAGGAATAGCGTGTTGTTTACCCAATTTTTCATGTTTGGGAAGCACAGCAGGTTGTCTGGATGCAAGTATTAGGTTGCAAAAGGACATCAGATTAAGTGAAAGGACAAAAACTGTAACAAAGGGGGTTCAAAGGGAGGAAATGACTTTGGATCCTTGAAAGAGAATTTGTTTGTTTTCTTAGTTCTGAGAACATACTCATTGTGGAGAAGCAAACAGATTTGGCAGTGGCAAAGAGTGCAACAAACTTCTAACAACCGACAACAAAATGCTGATCTTGATCTCGTTGGAGCTAAAATACAAAGGCATGAAAGTTATATTTACATGCTAGAGGGTCTGGTTCAGTCCCCATGTGCAGCTCTGTGTTCAATCTGGAAAAGATTCACTGGTCTTGGAGGTGATCAGGGTACAAAATACCTGGGGACAACAGTGAAAGTTACCCTCAATCTCCCAACATAGCCTGTGATAAATCAGGGTTGTGGTCAAAATATATGAAAAGTCACTCCCATACATATATTGTAACTTGCTCTGAAATACCACTATCTGGTATTATTTTTCTGCCAGCCCTGCAATTCTCTGATTCACCATTAATGGCACTGCAACAGTCCTACATTGACTGGAGTGATGCCAGAATAGGATGCGACTAAGCCTGTAACATGAATGGTGAATCAAAATCGCTGTGTTTGTGTCCCTTGTGTTTGTATCTCGTCTAATGCCTCCCTGGGAATCTTTGTACTCCTGCAAGTGGGTAGCTGTGCTGCCACACTACTTCTGCATCATTTTAGTGATTTCCTCCAGCCACCCTGTTTGGAGTGTGTTTGTTGCTTGTGTTATTTTTATTTTGTTGTGAACTCATCATCATCATCATCATAGAATCCCTACAGTGTGTAAACAGGCCCTTTGGCCCAACAAGTCTAAACCGACCCTCAGAGCATCCCACCCAGACCCGTCCACAGATTCTACACATCCCTGAACACTATGGCCACTGCTGGTGGTTCCCTTTTGCTCCCTCTCCCTGCTTTAGGTTTTGTTGTTAGGGCCTTGTAAATTGCAGAAGATAAAATTAATGTCAGCCATCAGTCAAAGTGCTTTCACACAATGACCCTCTAGCCAGGATTGCTGGGAAAGAACTGATATAAGGGAATATGTTTGATTGGTCGTGCCTGTTTATGGTTGGGGCAACAGTTTCTTGCTTTTGATATGTCTTCTACAATTTAAGAAAGTGGGAAAGCAGTCTGAGTGAAACTATGATAATCAATAACTGACAGAACATAAATCTAGCTAAAATGACTATAGCTAGTTGTTCAGAATACCCAAAATCCTTACTTGTGTGTAGGAGAATTGGGAGGGGATTGCAGGGAGGGGAAAGGGGTTGATCTGTGTGTGTGTATGCACTTGTGCATTTGTTAAAAGTTGTGCAGTCTTTCCTCTTAGAGCCCTCAAAAGAATATATGATGACCTCGGCAATGGTACAGTGAGTGCAGCTTTGTTGGAACGATGCGAACATTTTGTGGATTCTGCTTTATAGTTTTTAGGAGATTTTTAGAAGTAGGCCAGGCAATAACTATCTCCAATAGAAGATTGGAATTTCCTCCCTAATGGCATTGTGGGCCTACCTGTAACACATGGACTGAGATATATTTCCAAGCCAGAATGGTGTGTGGCTTGGAGGGGAACCTGCTGGTGGTGTTTCCATATATCTGCTGCCCTTGTCTTTCTAGTGGTTGTGGGTTTGGAAGATGCAGTCTACAGAGCCTAAGCAAATTTCTTCACAGGACAGTGGAAATCTGGAATCCTCCTCTCCAAGTAGTTTATATACTGGTTAATTGAAATATTCAAGAATGGAATTATTTTTACTGAAGGCAAAATACTGCCAGTCAGCAACATTTGTGCAGAGGGAGAGACGAAGGAAAATGAGTTACAATTCAGGCTGGTGATCTTGCATCAGTTTGATATTGTTGGTTAAGGATATCAAAGGTGATTAAAAAGTGCTGATGTACAGGTCAACTGTGATCTGTTGAAAAGGCAGATTAAGTTTGAGAGGCTTAATTATCAAGTCCAATTTTTATGTTCAGATTGGGATGCTGTTTTCCAGTTACAATGTGCCAATTTTTGTAGGATCATTTTGTGTGTAAGATATAATTTAAATCCCAATAGCTGCACTGGCATTTATTTTTGAAGGAAGGGAATTAATTATTAATGACTGGCAGGTGTAGGGATGCAACACAAAAATGCAAACAGCAAGGGGAGCCAATGGCCTCATGGTATTTTTTGTTTAAAATTCATTCACAAGATGAGGGTGTCACTGGTTAGGTGTGCATTTATTGCCCATGTTAAGAGTTAACCACATTGCTGTGGGACTGGAGTCACAGGTAGGCCAGACCATGTAAGGATGGCAGTTTCCTCTCCAAACCCCAAAAGGACATTAGTGAACCAGATGGCTTATTTCCTGACAATGCATTCATGGTCATCTTTGTTCCAGATTTTTATTGAATACAATTCAGTTTTGAATCCTACCATCTGCCATGTCAGGATTTGAACCCAGGTCCCCAGAATATTAGAGATAACAAGGTGTAGAGCTGGATGAACACAGCAGGCCAAGCAGCATCAGAGGAGCAGGAAGGCTGATGTTTCGGGCCTAGACCCTTCTTCAGA